TTCAACCTTGGCTTATTTCCTTTTCACCTGGGTGACATACAGCAAGTTAATTTTGCTGTGTCTCAGTTTTTTCATCTGTAAAATGAGCTGAGGAATCACCTAATATTTATGTGAAGATCAAGGAGTAATACATGTAATGGGCATAAAAAGCACTGTCACACATTAAGTACCACAGTCACACTTACTGTTGTGTTGTTATGTATTGTTATATATTAATACATGTCAGCACAAAATTGAATGCTGACAGAGTGAATCACTTGGCAATTTTTAAAAAATCCTATATTTATACCTCAAGCAATATAGTCCTATGTTTATTTAACAAATTATTATTTGATTATAACCTATTAGTGACAATAAATGGAACAGTGTTGAACCTAGCAGTTAAGTGTGAACATCTCTCAGAAGTTCTTTATATATTTGTATAAACTACTTTCACTAATGCTGACTTATTCAGGCATGTTCATCAAGTACTTGTCTTGGCCATTGTGTTTATACCTAAACAAAAGGCTTTCAACTCTGATATACATTAGGAATGATTAGGTCCCCCAGACTAGTGAATTGAAAATTTTGGGAGTGGCGCTCAGGCATTGGTATTTTTTTATAAGCACCACAAGTGATTTAAATCTGCAGATAGTGTTGAAAACACTGGCTTAGAGCATTAGTAATTAAATATATAGCCACGTCATTATTTTCTGACATTGATCTATAATTTTCTCATATTTAAGTAAATAAAATAATGTGGCTGTTTATAGATGTTCCTTTAAAGGTACACCTATTGTTTCCATTAATTCTGTAGTTTATGAATATAATAAAGCAGAAATGAATTTATTTATTTTTAAGTTATTTGTGGGTTTTTGTTTGCTTATTTTTTTGGCAAGATGAAGTGTCATGTCTATCGAAAAAGAATATGGAGACACAGAATGTTAAAGGTGAGACACTCAATGCATCTAGTGGAAAGAGGACACACTTGAAGCCAGTCCTGACTTGCAGTTACTTATTCACTTACTAGCTGTGTGATCTTGGTGTTCGCACTTAACCAATAGGAGCTTCACCTTCTTCATTTCTGTGAAGTTCAGATGAACGGGTACTTTGTATGATGACAACTGTGTTTCGTGCCGGCACACACACATACACACATCTTGATTCCCTGCCTCCTGCCTTGTCCCCGCACCATCTGGTGCGGATATCCAGAGCAGGGACTGTGTGGGAGCCTCCACGGGGCTGTCTGAGCCTGCAGGGCCAGCTGGTGGGAACGGCTTCCTCCCACTCCACAGGGATCATTTCTCTGGCTCTGTTGGGACCATTTCATGGCTCGCTGTTTGGATCCCATGCCCTTTCATGTGCATAACATTTTGTCTGTGGGGTCAGTTACTGCTGGCTAAGTAGAGTGAAGTTGATGAGACTGGAAATGAAGATGGCTTCTTGTTGTTGCAGGATAGAAAGTTTTGGGTACCTTCTGTTTGAGCCCCAGGCAATACATGTGCAGGACACAGATGGCTGCTTTCCCTTTACAGCTGACTTCCTACAGCTTCTTTGTATTGAGTAGGGTCAATACGACAATAAGAGGCCACTATCTATACCCTAGTTTAGGGAAAGCAGAGAAAAATCAAAGACTTCTTTGATTTTCTTTTTTTATGATAAAAACAGTAGATTTTTCTCCTTTTCTACCCCTGTCTCTCTGCTTTTCCAGCATATGGCCATGATCTTATTAGGTCACACTGTTCTCCTGTTTTACATCTTTGTGTTCCAGGAAGGAGGTTCATAGGTTGTTTCTTATTGTAAATCATAAGGCCTGGGGTCTTGATCTTGACTATGGTGTTTCAGTGTCCTTCCTACTTATAGGCTGGCTCTGGCTTTAGGCCTCTCTTCAATCCTAACTTTGAGAATTCTGCTTTTGTCACCTTTTCTCTGGACTGATATGAAGGTTTCATTGAAAATATTTGTAAATTCAGCTGCCTTTTAAAAATTGTTTGCCTCTGTCTATTGGAATTAGCACCATTTTCTCTTTGTTAGACTAGTGGTGGGCCTATTGATTTTTTCAGGTGATAAGAATCTTGAAACATTACACTTGTGGGGTGGGTGCACTTCTACTCGATTATGAGTGAGACTCTTGAGGGCAAGAACCATGCTTTCCAGTTGAGCATGGTGACAACTATCACATATTATGTACCTACTGTACATGAGAGACTTTGCTTTAATTATTTCAATTAATTCCCATAAAAATAATGTATACATAAAGAATCTTGTTTCAGAGAGCTTAAGTAAATTGCCCAAGGTCATCTCTCTAGGGAGTCACAGAGCTGGATTTTGAACTCAGTTTGACCTTAAATCCTCTTTTCTAAATCATCTTTTTAAATTCTTTCTTGAAGGAAAGGAGAAATACAGATGAGAACAGGATCTTGCCCTGTAGAAAGATTGAACTGTTGAGTAGGAGACTTGTATGGAATCACATTCTTGAGGAAAAAAAGAGAAGGCCTGCATACTCCTTGCTTTTCCCACTGCATTGACTTGCATCACTGACATACATAGACACTTAATAAATGGGCCCTCTGACTGTCAAGGCAGAAGTCCCCTCTACAGAAGGGTGACTTCAATTTGTGCTTTTTTATTTATATCAGAGAGACCCTGAGATTATGTGAAGATGTGTCTCTCTGATAAAGCCATGGGTTAAGCAATCAGGCAAACTCTGACACTGAAATATAATTTTCTTATATTTAAGTAAATAAAATAACATGGCTATTTGTAGATGTTTCTTTAAAGGTACACCTATTGTTTCCATTAATTCTGTAGTTTATGAATATAATGTAGATTCCGGTGAATCATTTGACATAAGACTCTTTAAGGAATGAGGTTTGTGTTGAAATCATCCTTGTCTTGTTGAAGATCAGGAGGTTCTCTGCAGTCGGTCTCTATGCTTGTAGTTTAGACCATCAGAATGTGCCCAGTGGCTTTGGCAAGCAACAAGAAGTATATAAATGCTTAGCAAGTTGCAGCTTTGTTGAATGTGCCCAGAGAACATTTTTCTTTTATTGTATTTGGAAACTATAAATTTAAGTCCTCCTGGGGAAGAAAAGTAATTGCTTCACAAAAGAAAAAAGTCAGTCTTTAAAAGGCTTAACTCCTTTCACAAACATGTGCTTTTTAATAACTGGGGAATTCCTGGCACAGGGAAAAAAATCTGTCCTTTTGTAAAAATGAGGTCATTCTGGTCTTAACTGGCCCTGTGCACCCTCTAGTTCCTGCTTTCTGTTCCATGTTTTGGGACAGAGGTTATTGGGAAGATAATCCCCCTGTGGATATTAACTGCTTTTAGGGCATGCTGCCAAAGAGAAAGTTATCTTAGCTCAGAAACTGCCAAGCCAGTGCAAGAGGCCCAGATCCCAGGGGTACTGAGCTAGTGACTGTTAATGACTTGGTTTAGGTTGGCCGTGGGGTGGGTTTTTAAAGCACACTTTCCCTGTGCTCTAGGATTGCTGTGTCGCTTCATCTTCTTTAGATTTCCCAACAGCTCCATTGCTTCTTGCTTCAGGAATATTTTTCTTTCCCAGACACATTCTGTTTACTCTGCTTTGATTTTATCCTGATGAGTAAAAACATCTGTGCCAATATGAGGCCTCATATTCATCTTTTTTTAACCTGGTATGACAACCATTGAAAGAAGTTGTCTGTACCTCTTTCTTTGAACACTCAGAGGCTGATTCCTCCTAAAGTTCATTTCTGAGTTGGCTTGGCTAAAGTGAAGATTGTATCTGAGGCTTTAGGCTTGCTCAGGCTGAGCGTTCTCCTGAATGGCAGTGTAGAGCATCTCAGTGGATGCTTTTGATTTCATTGAAGTTCACTTTTTACTCGCTTTAAAACAACCATTCCCTCTGAAGACTGTTAGGAAGGGAGATAGTTATATCTGTCCTGGCTGTTTTCATAAAGAGGTGGACATGCAAGGGGTTCAAGTGAACCTTGACAACAATCTTTGTGTTCTCCTATAAATTAAATATACGATGACCACTCTGAAAGATTAGAGATGGAAAGTAAACTGATGTTTCTTAACTGCATCTTAGGTACCAGCACTTAGCTAGATCCTTTCTTCAGCTTACTCTTTTAGACTTGTCTGGGTTCTTGTAGTTTAATTAGTGGGAGCTAGTTAGGTCATCCGCCTACCTTGCTGTCTCACATTGAAGGGTCTGTGTCAGAGTCATTATATTCTCCTAAAATTCATCCATGGCTATAATGGATCAATATGTTGATAAACCTTTGATAACTTCTGTTCTGCTTGATTGACTAAAACTTTTTATTATTTAAAAAATTCACACTCTTGCCACTGAAAATTTATTTTTTATGATACTTTGTTAATAAGATCTCCATTCTGGGATCTTGGTGTCACTCTCATGGCTCCCTAGGTCTGAAATTGCAAGTTCAGGCTTTGTTGCCTAAATAAGTCTAAGAATAATTTCTTGATTTGGTATTAAAAAACCCAAAACTATTTTCAGCTCTCTTGGAGTAGAGAAAATTCTAAAATTTGGTCATGAGTTGTTTAGGTATCTGCTTCAGACCCCATTTCTTGCCCAGAGTCCTTGCCAGCCCTCTGGGAGGCTCTAGATAGAGCCCTTGCTTGGAGTCTCTTGGACGGCTGAGGAAGTCAAGCTTGCCCTGCATGTGACCCATATTTCTTGAGTACACCTCCTCCCTATGGCCCCAAGGGCCTAGGTTTATTATAAGCAGCCAATGAGTTTTTTATTGAACTTAATAGCAGGTACGAAATAATTGAGAAAAATATGGCTAGGAAATGCTATTGTATTTGAAACTGGGAAATTCTGGGTAATTGCTGAGTGCCTCATATTAGTTCCTGTGGGAAAAATACATGGCAAAATGCATAATGGGTTAATATTGTAAAGCAAGAACTCTGATGAGATAAATCAGAAGCTATGTATTGGCTTACAATGCTCAGAACGGGAATGGCACTGATTTGCTGATAATTTATTTTTATTATTATTATTATTCTGTAGCCTCAGACGATTCAGCAAACTCTCAAGAGGACATTGCAGTTTTATGAGCACCAAGTTATTGGGTAAGTAAAAATGGATTTTGGTCATTACTGGGGGCAAATTAAAGATAATTACTCAAACACAGCAGTTGAGCATGTGGTTTCCTGCCGCGCAGGTCAACCTTATTTCACAGGGGCTGTGCTCTCAGTGTGGAGTGTGGCTCTTAGGGGCCCGTGGAGCCACTTCCTGAGGCTTATTTGTGTTTAATCCTTTATAATAATATTCCTTTCTGGTATTGCTTTTTCTTTTTTTTTGTTTTCTGTATGTGTTTTTACCCTTTTATTTTCATCCATTGAATCTCATAATTTTGCCTTAATAATTTCATGGTACCAACTGAGAAGCTTTAAATGAAATTTAAGAATCCTTCAGTAAATTTTAAAGAAATTTGAGGAGTCAAGATTCAAATACTGGTACCTCTTGACATGCTTTTGGGAATCGTTTAACATTTATGGTTAGTAGTCATTACCATGGGGATCAAAAATAAATTTTTGTCTATTAAGCTGTTGTGTAAGTTTCCTTTTACAAAGCCAAAGGAAGAAAACAGCAGAAAAATAATATCAGCACCTAGTGCAATGCCATATACTTGAAGTGCTTAATGATTATGTTAATTGTCATTTCAAAGGGAATTGCTTTCAAACTTTGTCATATCAATCCTCAAGAGTGCAGCACTGGGAAAAACATATTATTTAAACTCATGATATGGCTTTTAGTTTGAGGCCATTAGGGATTTTAAATAGTTTATCCTAACAGAGATAAAGAATGTCAAATTAATTTCTCTCCACACATTCTAAAATAAAAATTAATCACTCTCAATGGATATGCCGCTTTCCAAGTATGGTATTTGGATTAAATTTGTCAATATACTTAGATCTGTTCCTGGTATGTGATAAATATTACATATTTGCTGTTAGGTATATCACCTTATCATTATTAATATTTTTATAACAATATGGTAATCAAATGTAGATTATTTCCTGGACTTATGAATGGCCTCTCTGATTTGAAATCAAATAATGACTGATGAAATAGTATCATTTGTGAATGAAACTATGTCTCCAAGGCAAATTGGAATGAGTATCTTATAAATGTGATAAATAGATAACTGAACTATATTTCTATAGTCTGCAGAAAATTCTTTGGAGCTGTCCTTTATCTAAGTTCCTGCCTCAACTTCCCTCTTCTCTCCTCTGCATAAACATAGCCTGTGGTGGTTCTTTGTTCATTGCCTAAATGGTCTTCTCTAGTTCTGTTCAGTGCAGACACAGTATAACGGAAACAGACAGGGAATGCAACTCCAGTATCAAGAGTTGTCCTGATGTCTGACTGGTTCCAAATAGGCCTATTAGCATATTTTTTACTTGGGTGTTGGCTGCCTTCTGAGGACTTGAAGTACCTTTGCTTAGCGCCTTTATTTGTACTCAAGCCGATGAAGACAAAAAAGCGAGCTGGCAGGATATTGTCACATTTGCTTTTCCTGACTTTGCCTTTCCGTTTCCTTCAGCCATGGCTTCCATATCCAGTGCCCTCTTTTACCTTTTAGACTCCTTCTTCCTGCTTTCTTTTTTTCAATACTGAAAAAGGGGAACATCTATTACCACTAACATTTGGATTAACATGTATCCACACCAATGTGTTGTTCCTCTTTGAAAATACAATTAAAGGCTCTTTATCTCTAACTGTAAAAAGGAATATGTTTTTCTGTTAAAGGGATTTCAGGCAATAATACTGTCAAGTATTATTTTACATATTTCTGGGGATATTAAGGTGAGGAAGATATACTTTTCCTGATCTCCGAAATTGGACTTTGCCTAAGGCTTATCTTGAGGTAATTCACCATTTAGGTGCCTTGGGCTAAGATGGATTCCAGAGGGATTACTGTGAGTAGGACCTAGCCCTTTCCTCTCTTTCTTTTTTAATCCTCACTCGAGGACATTTTTTTCATCGCTTTTAGAGAGACAGGAAGAGAGAGAGAGAGAGGAAGATTGGGAAGGGAGAGAGAGAGAGAGAGAAACATCGATGTGAGAGAGAAAGACATTGATTGGTTTCCTCCTGTATGTGCCCCAACTGGGGACTGAATTCTCAACCTTTCTGGTACACAGAATTAAGCTCCAACTAATTGAGTCACCTAGCCAGGGCTAGCCTTCCTCTTTTTCTTAATTTAGCCTCTAACCACTCAATTTCCTGTCTTCCTTTTCCCCTCTTTTAAAACTCTGCCCTTGGATCTGCTTTGTTTATCAGAGTTCCAGGATAGTATGATTCTGTTTTTTGATGCATTCATACACCAGTAGCCCATAGAAATTCTCTAAGGCATTTTTAGTTTCCAAGACCTAGACTAGAATGCAGGAAGCAGTTGTTCAAAGGATCACACAGATGGAGAATTGGGGGGGAGTAGCCGATGGAGCCTCTTGCTAAGGGAGTGAGAGAGCCTCTCTGTACCTCAGCAACTTTATCTTTAAACGTTTATTCTGTTTCTTAACTTATCCATTCACTTGTTCATTTATATATTCATAGACATCTTTCAAGTTGGAAATGAGTGCCACAGTAGTTTATTCATGCCCTGTGATAAATCTCTTCATCTCCATCGTCACCATCGTCTCTCACTTAGAGATTCCGATCTAGCTTTCTGGTTTCTACTCCTGTCCCTTAACATATTCTCACGGCAGCAAAATGATTTAAAGATTAGATCATACCACTGTCTTACTTTAAACCAGTGGTTCACAAGTCTTAATGTGCCTCAGAGTCACGTGTCAGGCTTGTGTAAATTTAGATGGCTGGGCCCTGCCCTCAGAGTTCCTGATCGGATATACCTGGAGAGGCTCAAGAATGGGATTTAAAAGAATTTTTTAAAAATAAAATTAAAATTTATTAATCAGTTGTGTTTGAAAAAAACATAAACGCAAACACTCTACTTTGTTTTTGTCATCACTTTACCTTGTCTTTATTATCTTCAGTGTCAGATTCATATATATTTTTAGGCGAGATACTAATATGGAGATTTTGTTTATTATAACTCAGCCAAGGAATTGGCATTCCTGAGTTCCCAGATTATGCTGGTGCTGCTGGTCCAGGGATCACTCTTTGGAATTCTTGCTTTGAACCTTATAAAGACTGATTGTGAAAGAAAAAAATCTGCATTCTTCTCGTGGCCTTGTACTCTACTTCCCTCTCTGATTTTATCCCCTTGCGCTCCCCCTATTTCACCCCGCCCCACACTCCCGCCCTCTCTTGGTATCCCAGCTACTCCAAGCTTGCTCAGCCTTAAGGCCTTTGTATGCACTCTTTCATTTTTCTGGAATGCTCTGTCCCAGATGTTTGTGTAGGTTATTCTTTAGATATAGTTAGATGTCTGTTTGAATGTAGTATCTCCAGAAGAACCTTCCTTTCCACCCAATCTAAAGTGGCCCTCCATCCCCTGCCTCAGTCTCTAACCCTTATCATTTTTTTATTGTATTGCTCTTCGTTATTTCTTGTCACAGTGCTTATCATTAGCTTATGTTATTTATTTAATTATTTGGTTATTTATCTTATTGACTTCTATATTCCTGTACCCTTGTAAATGCTTGGTACATAGGAGGGATAAAAAATTTTGGGGGGGCTGTGGAGAAGTATGAATAAATGAATAAATTGCACCCTAGAAGTATGTACGCAGAGGTATGTATATAGTGGATAAAAGAGTAAATTATGCTTGGGAGGGGGGTGTAAAATGAGGGCTTGAAATAATCTCTAAGGTCCATTAGAGTTCTAAAATTATAGTTCTAGTACCAGGGACCTTTTTCTCTATATCTAAGTTATATTGGTTTATTTGCATAGTTTTCCATTAATGTTTAATGTTCTGCCACTGTGTGTTAGATCGACTTTGATTACTGTATAAACTCTACACAAGAATGTGCACTTGGGTAGCTTCTTGATCATGTAGCACAGTCTTCTCCCTTCAACCTTGAATGAGAAGAGGGGGCATTGAGTGTGCATCTTTGTGCTGCTTTAACTCAAGCTTCTAGGGAATGGACTGGGTTTTGGGGCAGTTCTGTGTGGAAAGAATAGTGAGAAGAAGAAGGGGTAAGCAGGAGATCAGCAGCGCTCCCCTTAGGAATTGAAAGGAACTCAGGATTGAAGAAAATCTGGTTTATGATGACATTTGTGTCTGATGTCATTCTTGATGCTGTCTTCTGCCCTTCCTTCTCTCTCTGGATCTCTGTTGTGTAGTGTGGAGCAGGGGACTGAGAAAATGTGCTTTGGAAGTAGATACAGCAGGTTTATTAGACTTAAAGTCAGATTCTGCCTTTGAATTATCCTGGACAGGTTACTTAACCTCTCTGAGCCTCAGTTTCCTTAAAATGGGGATAATTACAGTGTTGGGGTGAAGTTTAAATGAAATATTAATGATAATAATATGTTGTCATATAATCATGGAAAGCAGTGCAGTGCCTGGTACACAAAGGTAATCACTGTGTTTGTTGAATTATTATTCCACTATTAGTACCTGATTCCTTTGTGTCTCAATTTTTGTTGATTGCCTTTCCCTTCATCCACCTGCTTATCCTTTCCCTCTACTCCTTGAGCCTTTAAAATTTGGAATCAGTTGTTTAGCATCAGCAGCTAAACATAAATATGCCCAGCTCATGTTGTAGCTACAGCTTGCTTCTTACAGATTTGGGGGTTTTTTTAACCTAAGTTTTTCCCTCTAGAGTGCCTAACCCAACTGCTCTCACTCATGTTTATACTGTATTACTCTGACTCACAAAAAGAGGGATTGCTATGGCAGTGTAGACAAAGCAGAGATTCCTTAAAAGCTATGATTGGAAAATACATGATAATCAATCTTTCTGAGGTATAATATTCATTCATTATATATTTTATACACTAAAGTATAAAGAAATATGTATTCAGAGTGATGCCATTTACATTATGCCTTTTGCCAGAATTAGCATTGTTGCGTTAATACCATGGGTATGAGTGCTGCCAACCTCATATTAGCCTGGGACACCATTTCCTATAGTCATCTAAAATTAAATTCTGTTACTCCAATTATCACTGTGGGCCCTATGTTTGTTTTATACAGCCAACCTCCTGTTCTCTTTTTCTTTTGACAATTTAATAGGGATTAAGCTAGAATAATTTCAATAGAACATTGGAAGTAAAATTAGGAGTGGGTGAACCCTGATCATTCTGGGAAACAAACTTCAGTGATATTACTTATGCTTCCATGGTCAGATTTTGTGGCTGTAAATTTTGTTATCTAAAACATGATCCAGCTTCTTTCTCACATATTTATAAAAAATAACTATCTTATTGAATAAAGAGAAAAAGTTAGATGAAAGCTAATATTTATCGATTGCTCCCTGTGTTTGAGACAATAAATGCTCACTTTACATCTGTATTTTATGTGGTTCTAACCATCTATTTAATAGAATCATTGTACAGATAAATAAATTGAGGCTGTGACAAAAATATTTTGTCCAAGGTCATGCTGATGAAAGTGGTGGCACTTGATTTAAAAATAAAACTTTATTTGTCTGTGTTTAACACCCATGCTCCCCATTTCTCCTTTTACTGAGTGAATCCTGCATTCTAGAAACTCTAGTAAGCATTTTGCCTAACTGGTTTTTTGGAGTCAGATCTCAGTGAGGTATATACATCCATGAAATCATTTTCTTAGTTCTCTCCAATCACTTCCAACATGCAAGCATGAGTCCCCTATGATATTAGCTTGGACAGATTGCCCTGTTTTCCAAGTACATTCAGGGAGTGTAAGTCCACTTCAGGCCAGTTGAAGTCTTTAATCTCATATCCAGTCTCACTCTCATATCCCTCTCTGCCTAGGTCAGGCTTTGCCTGAGGAACTTAGAGAGCACTGTAGAGATGATATGATGTGGATTATCACTCTGCCACTCCAGGCCACTCCTTCCTAGGTCCCTCTGTCTTCTGACTGTGTCAGGCTAGAATGGAAAGGAGAAATGGCAGAAGGCTTTTCTAATTCACTAGTTGTTGTAACAGTCCTTTCTTGCTGTGAGGGCCTCAATGAGATGCCTGTATGGTTTGTGCTTTGCTTCTGGTCCTCCCACCCTGGACCTGAGGACGGCACTACACAGTCTTGCTGGTGGGATTCCTGCTGCTGGCCACAGTATCTAGATTGGGAAAACAGTGGGTAGGAAGTCAAGCTTGCCCCTCTTTAGTGGCATCTCCCTAATCCATGGGAAACTCTTTTTTTTTTTTTTGCCTTGCAGTTCACAATCTGTCTCTGTTTCCTTTCCCTGTTACTCTTCTGCTCAGTCAGGCACAAAGGGATAATCCAGAATTCCTCAGAAGATGTTCACAGAGGAACGAGATATCCACCCCCCAAACTCTATGGGGTGGACCCCTTTCTCACCAACTGGGTTTCATCAGGAGCATTCCCCTTCTCTCCTTTCCTCATAGGGGAGGGTGAAGCGATAGCAACACTTTCTTCCTAGGTCAACTACTCACTCCTCTGAGGATTTCCTTTTGATTTTTGTATACACCTTTGCTTCTGTAAGCTGGTGCTGGGGTGATAGTGGCAATGGCTATGCGGTCATTTCTAAAGTTCTGAAGGAGATGTCTGGTCTTCTTGGCTACTCTTTGGGAATGTGGGGGCATTTAGTGCCTATTGTCTTCAGCTTTAGTGTTTTAGCTCTAAGGCTCTAAGTCAGAGGCAGCTGGGGAAGTTCCAGTCACCGTCTGGTTATACAGGCATCCTGTCATTTAGTCTTCACAAGAGCTCTAGGAGGCATCTCCTTTTTATGAGGGAGGAAAGTTAAACTAATAGAGATTAGGTTACTTGCCCGAAACTCACAGATAGAAAATGGCAAAAAATGTGAATGGAGAAAAAAGACAGAAAATTTCAGTTATAAAGTAACTCATGGGCTGCAATGTACAGTATGGGACAATAGTCAATAATATTGAAACAACCTTGTATGATGACAGATGGTTACTAGATGTAGCATTGTGATTACTTCACTATGTATATTAATCTTGAATAGCCATTATATACCTGAAACTAATATAATATTGTATATTATGTTAATACAAAAAACATGGTATGACCATGATTCCAGTTCTGTTAGACTCCCAACAATTTATTTGCTTATCATCCATGCACCGTGCTGCTATCTTCTTGTCTGTCTGTGACAGAGGTTAAGATCTATTTACTTTCAACACAGTTAGTGCCAACACACCAAATTAGTACTGTTAATTCTTTTTCTAGGCAACTTCTTTATAGAAACAGATTACCAGCAGCTATAAAACAGTCAGATAAGGAAACATTAGTCACATAAAGCTGATATACCTTCTGATTTTCTTCATTCATTTTTTTCAAACATAGCTTTCTTGTTAATGATTGACTCCAGATCCAGGTCCACACTGCTAATGCTGATGTTAATGGTGGGTTATGTCATAAATTATGTCTTAAAGATTCAGTTATTTAAAAATGTGATTACACTAAGAGCATAGACTGCATGTGCTTGTGTGTATGTACATGAGTGCATTCACAAGTGCTTTAAAATTTTTCTCCATATGCTAATTTTATTTTTTTCTTAGTTATAGGGATGCAGAAAAGAATTTCCACAATATCTCTAACAGATGCTCCTATGCAGACCATTCCAACAAAGAGGAAATTGAAGACGTCTCAGGAATTCTTCAGTGTACTGCTAATATACTCGGTATATTAACTATATATTTATATGGTTAAGAGAGAATGAATGAGGGGAAGAAGATAAGTAAAGGTGTAAATGTTTTATTTTCTACTAAAGGGAAGTTTGGAGGTTATGGAAGATTGAGACTTTGTCTTCAAGTGATTTGATTTCAACACTTTGAAAATATTTAAGTGGAAATTACATGCATAGCATTTACCTGGAGAATGAAAAACACTATAATAAAAATACTTACATTCCAGGGAAACTTTTCTAAATACTCACACATTAGTGTTACTAGTCTCCCATCATCCATACTTCTTTGGCTCAGCTGAAAGTAGGGATCTTCCTGTGCTCTCAAAGCCTGTATACTACTATTTCTATTATTATCACCCCATTATTTGTGGGAGGCCCTGGCTGGAGCTGGGAGGTGGACCATAGGTACTCACAGTAGATGCAGAGGTAGTGAGGCAGGTCATCTTCTGAGGTCTTTGTGCCTTGTATGTGGCAGCTGGTGTGTTCACCTTGAAGATAATAATACTTATGACAGAGGGGTTGTTTTTGGATGTTCTAAAAATGACACAGGGCTGCTGTTGTAAACTGCACTGAATCATGCAGCATTAAGGCATCATAGTGAACCACACTATCACACTACCTTAATATCTGGTATTCTTGGGGTGTGAGAACTGTTGCATTATATGCAGAGTAGATATCATAGCAGGAATATAGTTTGCCTGAATAACACCTCTTTCAGGTTTTTCTTTTTTTAAAATCCTCCCTTTTTTCCTGTATGACTGAGACAGGAATCCATGGGGTGGTGGTGGGGAACAAGAAATCTTAGTGACTGACTCCGTACAGAACTCAGAATCACGTCTCCCTCAGAATCAGATGGGGGAGACTGGGGCAAGCTTGTTTGCCTGATTTTCTTTCCTTTAGGCTTGTAGGTAAGTACTGTCCCTGGAGACCTCTGGGTCCCTTTTACAGATTCCAGGTCACCTCAACCCATGAATCTACCCATTTTTTCCAGACATACCTGACTTAAGCTGGGACTCCAGCCGTCCATGACTACATTTTCACACTTTTGTAAACACAAAATATTGTACAAGAACATGGAAATTTTGTCAGGAAGGACATGTAGATATATATGTGTGGTTTGTCTATAATAGCTATAAGAAAATGAAAGGGAGGGCCAAAGATTTCCTTACCTCAATCTTAGTACGGATGTAGGGATGTTGTATCACCCAAGTAAACCTTATTATCAGAGAAGATGAGGGACAAGAATAGAGTGGGTAGGGGTTGGGTATTACCCAGAGGCTGCTCACAGTTTTATGATTTTTTCTTTTCAAGGACTCTCCCATCATTAACATATTTTTGTTTGGAAACATTGTGATTTTCAAGGGGTGGGGGGTGAGATGATGCCCCACTAAGAAAGACATATCAGAGTTTTGGCAGAGAGAAGTTTAATATTTGGAAAGTTGCTCTTATCCAGTTTCTAGTCATTTCCTTGCCCCTCACCTTTCCTTGCCCCTCACATTCAAGGTATGCCCCCTACCTTGAAAATCAGTGAGTTAGAGGGAGTAGGAGGTATTCAAGATAGTATACATATAAGGAGTGCTAATGGCATCTGAGCCATGACTTACAAACGGGTGTGCACAAGTCCACAAAGAAACTCGAGGTTAGACAACTTGATATAGTAACCATAGTAACAACCATGTGACGCTGTGGCCCAGTGCAGCTTAGTTGTCCTTCAACTGTTGCCATGAGATGAAGGTTAAGTAGTGAGTGGGAAGACCAACAGGTCGTGTGTTGCTACCTGATGATATTAGGGAATGAGTAAATTTAAGCTAGGAGCTTATAATTGAGAAGGTGAATGTAAACAGGGTTTGGATATTAATAAATATAACACTTTTTTTCTAAAAAGGAGAGATTAGGTCTGATTATTTTCTCCTCTAAGTAATGATGGATTGTTCCTAAAATGTAAAAAACACAACCCTGTAAAACGTAAATTTCTGAAGAGTGATACCAAATGCCTGCCACCTGTTGGCAAAAAGCTGGCCAGGATCTAACAGGTATTTATGTGCCTAAGAGGTGGTTGTTCACTTGAGTAATATCCTTTCCTGAATCTTAAAATAGAGACTCTCTGAAGACAAAGATAACAGCTTTACAGGTCATATTCAATGAAAACTTTGTTTGTAACAAGCCATTGAACTATGATTAATCTTGGTTTGCTTAGATTTCATCTTTATAAACAATTACATTTAAATTCTCCTGTGTAATCATTTTTGATAATTCAAGAATTGATTAACTCACTGGACAGAAAACACTGTGCAAATAAGGGAGCCTTTCTTTCTTTCTTTTTTTTTTTTGGAGTGTGGAAGTTTGGTATGGAGAAATAGTTCCAACCAGGTTAAGGTAAATTTTGATGCTTGGAAACCTTCTCTGTGGATGCCGGAGGGCAATTTTCCAACTTCATGATTTATATGAATCACTTTTGGGGAGTGTGGTTTGAACATTGGTAAGTTGGGTTTGTGGATCTATTTCTTACCTCTTAACTAGTAAAAGTTTGTGGTAGAGACTAGAAATGTTTGCTGACTCATCTGTATGTTATTTATACTTTACCTATTATCAAAAAAGATTTAAAGTCATTGGCCAGAAGATATGATCAGAGTACTAAATTTTACTCTTTTCAAAATGACTCTCTCTATCGATTTAGTATAAACTATTGTAGATAGTTTGATTATATTCTGGCTTTTCCGGTGAAGTTTGAATTTAGTGGTTGGCATGGAATAAAAAGAAGAGGCTGGAAAGAGGGAGAAGGCTCGCGGTGGAAGACCAGTCACTCCTCGTCCTGCATTTGTTCTGTCCCAGCTTCCCTGGGGCTCCTGGGGAAAACGCATGCTCACTATTAGCGTACACACCCACTAGTAATGGGAAAGGACTTTTTCCAGACAGCAAGATTTTTACCATTTACTTTTCTTTTTTTGGCTTAGAAACTAGTTGTTGCTATTTCTGTCTCATCATTTACAAATTAGGGATATTAAGGACAGACTGCTGCTTGTCATCTAGTCGCCTCATTTCGGTGCCCTGGCAGTCCCTATGCTATGCGGTATATAGCGCACTAAAGGGGCTTTTAAACTCTGGGGAAAGGCTACACAAAGAAAGACAGTTGTGAACCATGTGTTCCCCCCTCCCTCCGCCCCAATAAAGACTTTTTAGTGTTACATTTATTACTTTATTTTGCATACCAAAAATGATCTAATTTTGGTTGTCTGAAAAATGTAAATCTTTCCAGCCCTAATCTACAAAGCCCATTTTTAGTTCCAATTAAGTAGTAAAAACGTGTTTATATGCTCGTGGGTTGCAGCACTGAGCATTTTCTTGGGAATTATAATGGTTGAATGGTATGATGAAGGTTCCGTGATAAAGCATGGAAGTGTCTATACCGCGTTGCCACCTGGTCTTATGGTTTAGATTTAGGTAAAGTTGGCGGGAACAGAGCAGAGGTAAGGGAGAAGAATGATAAAATGTATAGCTCCTTTGCCATCTATAATTTAAAATAAACAAGGATTATGACTATTTCAGTTTTAATACTATGAAGGGGGTTGTGGGTGTTTCTGTGTAGAGTATCAAGAGCTGTGAGTGGAGGAGATGGTGTTGGAAAAAGTCATTCCTCACTAGGATAGAAACGAGAACTCTAGATAAGTTATTTACTGATGAAAAATAGTAAACTAAGGTTTGCTATTTTAATTAGCATCTGTTATTTATTAAGTATTAACAAAATATAGTCTTATACTGCCTTTGTTAAGTACATTTTCTCTCAAAATAATCAGAAAGGACATGAACTGTGAAAATACTCATTAAAGTTTTCTCTCTCTCACAGGTCTTCTGTTCAAGTGGGGCTTTATTGTCTCCAAAAACTTAGCACATGTAAAGTCAGAATCAGAGTAATGTTGTCCTGGGATTATTTGTTGGGAAGGTTGGGAGGCAGGAGGAAAGGACTTTGGGGGCTTATTCCTCACAATATTTTCCTGGTATCAGGGAGTCTGAAACACTATGAAACCAGAGCTATCCATAAAGTGCCACAGATTCCCGAATCATTAGCTGGTATGGAGCTTTTTGTAGTTGTTTATTTTTTTATAAGCAATAATTTGTTGCTTATAGGTTAACTTTCATGTACTTTTTGGTTTTATTGTCATTTGGAATGTGCATTTAGCAGCCTTTTAATTGGCCATAAAACTGAAGAATTAGCCTTATTTAGGATTAAGATTACCTTGGGGGTGTTCTCAGAATAACTCTTAATCATATTAATTGTTTAGTGAATTGGAATATGTTTAACATATTTAGCATCTTGGATAACTAGTTGGTGTAATAACTCGGTTTTATTGATGAATTAAGTCGGTAACGATAAATAAATTCTGCCAGTATAATTTTTGTTTCTGTAACTAGGTAACTGATCAGTTTTTTCTTTCATTAAAAGGAGATGGTGTCAATATTTTAATGAGATAAATTGTAGTTAAGGTGGGTAGAGAGGTTTTGATTTATGAACTGATTTAATAATGGTGTTGCAATGTAGCAGTTTAGAGCAAAAACAAGCCAGACTACTCTGGCTGAAAACAAGGTTCCCTTACTTCCTAGCTATATGAACTGGAATGAGTTACTTAATCTTTCATACTTCATATTTCTCACCTGTAAAATGGGGATAATATAATTACATATGTCGTCCAGTTGTTTGGAAGATTAAATAAGTTAATTTATATAAAGTACTTACATGTAACAAAGCCTAATATATAACAAATGTTATATAAGTGTTTGCTCTTATTGTTGAATATTTACAGAACAATGTTTGCATTATACCTGGGAGGTCAATACTACTTACTTTTTTAGGTGAGGAAACTGATACTGAGAGCCATGAACTTGCTAAGTTCCTTCGTTGATGGTGACAAGTCACATAAAGCAGGATTTAAACCCACGCATCCGAATCCAAACCTTGCATTCTTTTGACTGCTGCGTGCTGCCTTCCAGAATTGTCA